TATCTACAAGAGCATAAATTTTAATGCCATATTTTGCCCCACTGCTTTTCCCTAAGTCTTTCACATTCCTGCCACTGCTGTGAGAAATCTGTGCTCAGTACTGCAGACCTATGAATGCTTTCAATTCCCCTAGTGAGGTATAATAATAAATACATTTTGAATTTGGCTATTGGTGCATACAGAACATTTTGCTTGCATCTCAGCCTTTGTGTATTTCACAGCATCTTGCAGCATTTCATCTGTTACTGGCATTTGGTTCCGGCATTCCGTCCAATACAGTTCACCCTTGCCAAGATCTTCACTATATTTTCAGACCTAATTCTAACATTGGACCATTCCATTTGGTTACGTGGCCATTTTACAGCATTTCAACTAGTCAAAGATGCACTCACATTGCTGTTTTCTTCATCGAGTAGCTCTGCCTTCCCTGTGTCTGTATCAGTCAATTTTTGTTCCATTTCACTGTCATAGGAACTGACTCACATGGCCAACATCAAAGTCACTGTTGTCATCCTCATTATCATCCACCAATAACACTCTTCTGTTCCCAAAGTATGTATTTTACCATAATGGATCATCTTGATCATCCATGCATAAGTAATCTGATGTTTCACTTTGGGCCTCCTCAAAAACTTGCAAATCTGCTTTTTAATGTGCCGTTATACAGAACTGGGCTACTTCTACCAGAAAAATCAAAAGAAACACTTTTTTTAATAACTGCTGGAGTGCTGTAGGTCTATTGGACCCTCTGTGGTACTCAGGTAAACACACACAGAACCAATTATGCTACATAAAGGTGGGTCCAGATCCTGTTCTGACACTTCTGCACACGTGAATAGGCCTTGCCATTTGTCGTCCCAAGTGAGTAAATACACACTGCTTCCTGCAGCCCTCAGGGAAAGGTACTGAGACACAGAGCTGGCTACTGTAATGCTGAAATACAAGATTAGAGCAGAAAAGGGATGGGTCAGCCAGATACAGGGTTAAGCCTCAATGCTTAGCAGGACACTGATGCCAGATTCTAACAAGTAGATTGAAAAGAATCTGGAACTTCTGACAAGGGATTGATGAGGAACTAGAAATGTGTAACTGAAGGAAGGACAGTCTAAGAAAATGCTTAAATTATGTGCAAAGATTTAAAGGCTATCACATCAAGAAGTGGATTTTCCACATCAGATTAGTACCAGCTGACTATAATTTCAGGGAGACATTTTTATTAGTGTATGTTTAGCATGCATAGTCATTACATTCATCTTGGAGAGCTGGTTCATGTACATAATGCATCTTAATTCCTTTTTAACCCCTTCCTCTTCTCTCCCTCTGCTACCCCTCCATTTCTTAGTGTACCTCCTTTTTCTAGAAGCTCTATTTCCGTTTCCTATTATTTATTGTTAATTCTTGCTCTTTAGTTTATTTATACTTTTATGTTTGTTATATAAAAGAAACCACATATTTAAGCTTAAATATTTAAGCTTATATGTTAGATTTATTTCACTTAACATTATGGTCCCAGGGTACATCAGGAACACATATTTTGAGTTATATTCAAAAATAACTCTTACAGCTGAAGCTTTTAAGCAATGAAACTATTCCATTAGTTTGTCATTACTGAAGATATGCAAGTGGCTAAATAGCCATCTGTCACAGACTCTACAAATGAAGTTTCTAAACAGCAAGCTTCATGGAGAAATCTGAACTATAGGTCCAAACAGATTCAAATACCATGTCACTATAAGATTATAAGTGATGTTTAATTTCAGCCATACAAAGGAGTCAATATCCATTACCATGTTTAATTAAATATATTTATCCAAGAAACACTGAACAGCTAATCACAACAAATGACTGTATTAGTCTTTATGATGTAAGCAAAAGTAAAACATGGACTCCTACTCAGTCTAGAAACTTATAGTGTAGGAAAGGAAATAAGACAACTATAATCCAAGATAAAATAGGTACTATAAGCAACATAAAATGTGGTTTAGTTCAAGCCCCTGCCCCATAATTAACATTACCTAAAAATTAACTCAGTCAATCTGTTTAAAAGCTGCAAATAACTCCTAGGATTAAGATACTTTGATATTGAGTATTTAGGTAATACTTTGATGACTGCTACAGTTAAAACTATAAAATCTGAATATAAAAAAGTAGGACATGTGCTCTTTAATAAATGGTGCTGGAAAAACTGGCTCTCCATTTGCCGAAAACTAAAGCTAGACCCATGTCTATCACCATGTACTAAATTAAAATCTAAATGGGTCAAAGATCTGAATATTAAAACAGAAACGCTAAATCTATTGGAAGACAAATTGGGTAGAAACCTTGGAGACATAGGAGTAGGTAGAGAATTCATGAATAGGACTCAAACTGCACGGGAAATACTTCCCAGAATCAATAACTGGGACCACTTCTTACTAAAAAGTTTTTGCATGTCAAAAGAAATCTCCAGCATAGTGAAAAGAAAACCCACAAACTGGGAAAAGATTTTAGTGAACTCTCTCTCAGACAAGGGACTCTTGTCTAAAACATATAAAGAATTAAAAAAACTCAGACCTTCAAAATTCAAAGATCCAATCCAAAAATGGGCATCTGAGATGAATACGCAATTCTCAGATGAAGAAATGCAAATGGCAAATAAATACATGAAAAAATGCTCATCATCATTGGTCATTAGAGAAATGCAAATTAAAACCACACTGAGATACCATCTCACTCCTGAAAGAATGGCCAGGATCAAGAAAACCAACAACAACAAATGCTGGAGAGGCTGTGGGGAAAAAGGAACTCTCCTGCACTGTTGGTGGGAGTGTAGACTGGTACAGCCTTTGTGGAGGTCTGTCTGGAGGTTTCTCAAAAAGTTGGGATTGGAAATCCCATTTATTCCAGCTATTCCACTTCTAGGCATATTCCCAGAAGAACTGAAAGCATCATACCACAGGGATATATGTGCACCTATGTTTATAGCAGCACAATTTGTAATCGCCAGATCTTGGAAACAACCCAAGTGTCCATCAACTGAGGAATGGATAAAAAAGTTGTGGTATTTCTATACAATGGAGTATTATTCAGCTATAAAGAAGGATTGCATTGAGATATTTATCAATAAATGGGCGCAGCTTGAGACCATACTCATAAGTGAAATAAATCAATCTCGCATGTATGAATACCGAATAGTTTCCCTAATGTAAGTAATGATTCAAATATATAAAAATATGTGATAATCATGATTCCCCATTATGTGGCCTTGAAGCCTTATAAAATTTTCACTTATTAATTAGAAAGGCTTTACTCTGGGCTTTTTGATATGGAAATATTTGAAGCTATAGTATATGAAGTTTTATCCAAATATTTTAAGGAAAAAGACAGACACTATGGTAACTACTATTCTTTAAAAAAATTATTTAGCTATTTCTTATGTTTATTTTAATTAAGGGAAAAACTTAAAAAATTAGGATATATAGTAGTAACTCTTTTTGATCTCCTATTAACTTGTTTTGAAGTCCTGTAATACTCCCAAGATCTTGTTTTGACTGATTAGACTCTGTTCCATTCTGTGCGATAGTAGCAAGTTTGAAGGTATAGGCAACTAATTTGAAGGCAATAAGATTCACAAAGATGCCCATTTTGGTTTGACTATTGTCTCCTTTGGAAGTCCTGTAATGTTCACAATGCCTAAGTTTTATTGGTCTTGTTCTCCACTGTTTTGTCCGGCTTTATAATATCTAATGAGATGGACAATTCCTTTTAAGGAAACAAGAGACAATGTTGATAACCATTGTTGATGACCTTGTACTCTGTTCTACATCATGTGCTATGTCTATCCTTGGTTTTGACTTACAGCTTTGTTTTGCCATATTTGACTTTATTCTCTCCCCCCCAAAAAAGTAATAAGAACTAAGGAGTAATAAAATCCAAAATGTGTAAATTTTGTTATAAAAAAGAGAGGGAGGGGAAAAAAAAAGAGCTCTAACGGATATAACAACAAGTGTGTTTAGGGATGTTAAATAGCTGACTATATTAATGTTTTTGGATCATTGAACACAGCTGTTTGCAGTCTCTCCGTTTGAATGTCTACTTTGTATTCTTTGATACTGTGATTTGAGCAACTATTTCCAAGATGATATTATGTAATCTATTAACAGGTGATTTCTTACTGTTATGTTTTTTTTTTTGTAGTTCTGTATTATGTGTAACCTTACACTGCTTTGTTTTGTTTTGTGTTTTTCTCTTTTTCCTCTTAAATAAAAAAAAAAAAAAGTAGGACATGTGGAGATGAGCAATTAGTAAAATGGGTATGAATAAAAACACAAATTCCTATTTAATAACTTGGTATCTATTAACTTTCTAATCTAATAACCTTGTATCTATTAAAATTTTGTATCTATTAAAATCTATCTTCAAAGATGACTTGAAATAACAACCCAACATTTTATCTGAAAAATTCTAATTTGAAATGTACCATTTTTATCAAGTTTACCTCCTGGTTTGCTTTTACACATTTGTCAATTATCTGATAAAATATGTCCCTATGGAAGTAAGTCAAAATAGACAAAAACGAGAATGCTTCTAGATTTACATTTTACAAAGGAGAATTACATGGGCCAATTTAAATAGGATCCAATCTCATTCCATATTCCAAGGAAAGGTCTCTTACTATCTCTGCCAAAATACAATGTTTTTAGCAAGTTACCATATTTAACCAAAATAAATATATCAATAGCAGAAGAATGTTAGCTATCTAAGAACCAGTACATTCTAAAACTAAAATCCTCTAAATTTGTCACAGTACTTAAAAGTCACATGTTTACATAATAAAAATGCTTACAGAAGATATAAAGCATTTAGTGTAAAAGGCAGAACATGCAATAAGCAATTGTATTTTTGAAAAAGGAACAAAAACAGCTTTATAAAACCCACAGCAAATGTTTTCAGAAAACACCATCAGAGGGCCTAAGACACAAGTCATCAGTTCATAGAAAACAAACAGATAGTTAACATACCACAGTCTGAAGGCATTGGTGCTGCAGAAATGGAAAAGATAACTGGTGTTTCAGAACCTGGAAATAAAAACGGGTATCTTCCAAGCAAAGGATTTCCTTCTAATGGAAAATCTGGAAGGTCCTCTATGGTCATTTTCTAGAAAGCCACCTATAAAGAAAAAGGGGAGAGAAAAAGCATTTCTGATTTCAGTGTGTGCAACCTACAATGATTACCTTCAATTACAAAAATCCTAAAGTTCTTTTCATGTCTAACCTACTGACATTTTCAAATGCAACCTTCAAGAATCTCTCATCCTGGGGCCAGGGATTTAGCTCAGTGGCGTAAACACCTGCCTGGCAAGTACGAGGTTGTGAATTCAATTCCTGGTACCACCAAAAAAAAAAAAAAAAAAAGAATCTCTCATGATAGAGAAAAAAATTCTTCTGGACAAAGCGTTGTTTAAGAAAGATGGACTGCTTCACACTGTTTCTTACACAGTCAACAACACAATTAATCTCTCTAAAAAACTGCAGGAGCAACGAACTAATATTATGCACAAATGTGCAAAGTGTTGAGCTAAACAGGTAACAAGTAACGGCATATTAGCCTTGGAGATGGATCTAACTCTGAATTCTGACAGAGGTCAGATCATTTCTCGTCCAGCAGCTTGCACCATGTGCTCATCACATGAAGATAATCTACCTCAGGATATTTCCATTATTTTCTGATGCCCCACAATATTACTGAAAATTAATGATATCACTTTTCCAAGTATAAGAGCGTATGGAGATCCCTCCATGTAATGCACCAGGGTCTGTTTATTCTATCCTAACAGAGCGTGGAAGGCTCTACCTTTTAAACTCTATCGTTTATATTACCTCCTTATCCCAAAAAAGTTGAGTGCTTAGTTTTTTTCTCTTAAACTTGTGCTACCCCCTAATCTACAGCTCAGAAATAACAAACAGCAGAGAAAATTCTAAGTTAAACTAACCTTAGGAAACTAAAAACTTCATAGTTTCTTTAGAATCAGATCTTGCAAGTCTGAAATATTATGAATCCTTATATCTACTTTTAAATATAAGCAGAAAATCATATTACAAAACAAAATTAAATATTTTAATTATTTGCATTAGAAAGAATAGGAAAAATTAAAATATTTAATGATTTTAGCTTAGTCTAGTAGCAGGTCATGCTACCTTTTACTCAGTGTGTGTTCAATTATGTTTGGTTAACTTGTCCTGTACTAATAATCACCTTTCCCATCCTACTGTGCCTCCAAGGAAACTGTTACTTCTCTGAGTTAACTGATTTCTTCCCAACTTGACTCATATTTTTGCAAAACATACTGGCAACAACTGGTCAGAGTAAGACTCTTTCCTCAAGGAGCATACATGTGTATGAACAGGTATATTAAATAACCTTGTTTCTATTTTACATGTTTTTAAATTTTCTTGGATACTAAAATTACTAGTCAAAAAAATCACTTGCCCCAAATATTCTGAATCATTTTGACATTCACCCAGGAAAATGACAAGGTCAGGGAACGGGAGTTAAGATAGGAGTGGTGAGCTCCCCAAACACTACCGTCAATAAGACACACTGCACACACTGTGCAGACAGCCCTCCTTCACGTCACAGACTCTCTCTCTTGCAGGATTCCTACTTACTGGTGCGTTCTTACTTAGAGGTAAATTATAGCAATATTCTACAGAGTATGGGCTTTCTTTAGAAGAAAGGAACAGAAAGTCTATTAAGCATCTAATAAGGAATGACTAAGTACAAAACTCCAATTGTTTCAGAGGTTACAAGACTGAGTAACAGTACAAACATGAGTAGCAGATGGCCCATGTCAGCTAGTTTACAATGTTAGCTGGTTTATAAAGTCCAAAAAAATGACTGAAGGTAAGATTATGAACATAACAGAATGTATTAATCACATGAGTACCAAAAAATTCACTATAGGCGCTTCCAAAAATTGGAAATGGTACACTGAAAAAGGCATGGGCAACGATGAGTTTCACAAAATAAACTTTTAAAAACTAGGAAGGAGTTAAAAAGAGGAGCATATGAAAAGGACACCAGTTTGAAACTTGGAACGTGACTGGAAAAGCAGTGAGAAATAATATTAAACCAGGATGTTCTTACATTAACCAAAAATCAGATCATCCAATTCCAGGAGCACTGGGGAGCTACTGATGTTTTTAAAAGGAACAGCCTGCTGAAAGTTGTGCTTCAGGAAGATTAACCATAATCACACATGGGAACTTTTTTTTTTATCGGTACCAGGAATCGAACTCATGACCGCCTGCTTCCAAGGCAGGTGCTTATGCCACTGAGCTAACTCCCCAGCCCCAGAAATACTTTTAATACTCTTAATTCTTCAGGAAAGTGGTTTTCTTTCCAAATCAGTGACAAAGAGCCACCAAATGACTTCCCTTTCAAAGGATGGAAAGTCCTATTCAAATATAGTTTTTAAACATGATTCCCAGAACACCTTAAATTTCCTTCCAGATTGCTGAGATTCTTAAAGAAGAACTGCATCTGACACAACTACCAGTTATGACGGGAACAAAACTGTGTCTTACACCAATTTAAAAAATATCCAAATTCTAGATCTAGAGTGGAAAGATAATTCACCCAAGGAGATGTAATCAACTTCACTTTCTTACATATTTTGAACCAAAAAAGGTACAGTATTATCAGACCAAGGTAGTGGATATGCTTTGTATTTTTACATTTTTGCGGCATTTTTCCTTAGTCCCATTTCTTTTCCTTCATGGAAAAAAACCCAACATTCTACCTTTCATTTACAAAGAAAACTACGCACTTATAAACTTTTATGTAAGCTCACAGTGCTTCCTGAAAGAACTTCTCAGTCTGAAGATCTGTAACACCTGGACTCTTGGTAGAGATACATTGACCCATGTTGAATATACAGTTTTGTTCCAAATCCTCCTACAGTTAACCGGTAAAAATTGATTATTCAATGTAATCTTAAAAGTCAGTCCTAATTATCTGTATCTATATTAACTGGAAGCAAATTACCCAAAATTTTAGCTTTATGGAAATTCTGTCTTACTCCCTCAAACCAAGTTAGCTCTGAGTAAAAGCATGTGGGAACGAGGCTCTAAAATCTGGTGATTTTCAAGGATCTCTGTTTCTGCCATCAAACAGCAGTGGTAAGAAGCATCCACCAACTTCACCTGCGCGGTTCTCAAGGCGGCCAGCAGACTCCCTCAAAATTATGTGGGATGCAGAGGGAGAAAGAACCAGGCCCCACAGGGAGGGAGGAGATCCCCACCAGGAAACCGTATCGTTTTCATCGTTTTGTTGGGTTGCGTTTTTATTTTCTTCTGTTTTGTTTATGTTGACCCTGATGGCATAAGCAGCTATTTAAAAGATAGCAAGATACACTATGGAAGCCATTATGTATTTACTACTGGCTTGTTTTGATGTCCTTTATTGCATTCATTGTTTTGTTTTTATTGTTTCTGTTCTGTTCTGTTGGATTTTTAATATGTCTGAAGGTGTTATATGCAGCTATTTTGTACACAACAAAGGCATTATGGTAATTACTGTTAATTTCATAAGGTTTGGAAGTCCTGTATCCCTTATTCTGGTTTATTTGATTGATTTTATTGTTTTGTTTTCCTTGGTTCTATTCTCTTTAAAATAAAAAAAAAATTTGTTTAATTATGGCTCAAGAGCACCAATCTGGGGACCTAAGCTGTGCCCATAGACCCACATTTGTTGGAATCCTGAGGCACTCACATTCAATTTCCCATAGTGATTTATCACAAATCTTTATTTTCACGAGATTCCCAGACAAAACTACGAAATAAGCATGTCCAAAGCACAACTCCCATGGTTCTTTTATCTGCTCCTACAAAACAGCAGCCCGCTCATTAAAGAGCTATTGAAGTACATGAGTATTTCATGAGATTCAAAACCAAAACAGAGCGAGGAAGGATATAAAAAGCATCCCTCTAAAGATCTCTTTATTCGCTACCTACAAAACATGTGTTCAGTCCCTAGACAGGTATTGGCAGCATTAAAAACACAGCTCTAGGTCCTAGAAAGGGTATCAAAGACAAGATACCTGTTGTCAAGTTCAGGTATGCATTCAACTAATACTTACTGAGCTAATATTTACTGCGCATACAGAATAAAGAAACCAGACATGCCCTTGCCCTCACGTAGATTACAGCCTAGCGCTGCACTTTCACAAGAAAGCCTCCAGTACCATGCAACAGCTCTGCGAGCAGCCACATGACCATGAGAGAAGACACAACACAACAGAGGATTCCTGGGCCACTAATGATTAGAAGCGGTGATGTTCAACCACGTGGGCAGTAGCCACAAGTAGTAGTCTAAAACAAATTTAAAGGGTAGTCCTCCACGGCTCTAGCTCTAGTTCAAGCACCACTTAAAATATCAAGTTGTAGGCGGGCTATGGCTACCATGCCCATGCACCATGTGGGAACAGAAAGAAGTAACTTGTTTCCATGTAGAGTTCTACTGAGCAGCCCGGAAGGAAAACAGTGCAACACACTCTCTAGATAAGAAAATAATACACAGAGGTCTGAAGCAAGAAACAAATCAAATGCCAATGCACTAAGCAAGGCCACAATAGGATAATTATACATAATTACCAAGGGAACAGTATGTCTCAAAGTAATCAGATGCATATAGGTTTAAACTGGGAGAAAGAGCAAAGCTGATCCTGTAAATTAAAGGTCATGAGTATAATTTGCAAATTTTGCGATGCTGTAAGAATCAGACACTATAGAATTACCACTTTTTAACAGGCCTCACTAGTGGAACTGTCTAGTAAGCTTGAAATGTTGGGAATAAAGCCTATAAATAGTGCTAACTCATCCACCAAACAGAAAGAAATGCATTCATTGCATTGTAAGATTCAGTCTTACAGCCCAGATAGTCCATATCACATGAAAGCATTATCCCCCACCAAAAAAGAGGGAAAAAAAGCATCACACTTTTGTTAGCAGGATAAAATGGAACCAGGATCATCTTAAATCTTAAAAATGAAAACTGTCAGGCTGGGGATATAGTTCAGCAGCACAGTGACTGCCTGGCAAGCATGAGATCCTGAGTTCAATCCCCGATACCAAAAAAAAAAAAAGACAGACAGACAGATGTCAGACTTTTGACACTTTCAAGTCTCTACTTCCCTCCATAGTTGCTACACCTCCTGCACCTCCTGCTCTTCTGCTCTTCAGACAGCTTTACACCACGCAGGAGGGAGCTAAGCTTTACACCACAAATGTCAAAATGAAAGTGCAGTTCAGTCGCTGTGCTCCGTGTCACTACGGAGGAAGGTGTCTCTGTCAGGAAATGTTTCAGACAAGCTTTACTCCATGACATGCTACAAGGCGCGCCACGAACTAGCTTGGAACATGCAGAACCATATGAAGCCGTCAGAGCATCGCTCCCGGATACACATCCAAAGACCACCAGGACAGAGATCCAAGTGGCCTACAGAGTGTCAGAGGAAGAGGCCCACCTCACGTGCACAGGGCAGAACGCTAGCATTACAAACCCATCATCACCCCAGTCCGCAGCGATGCGGGCTTTGCACCCTGCGGCAGGCTGGTCCCGTCTCAAGTGCTCTTCCAACTTCTCTCCCCTGCGCAGCTGAGTCAGGATTAAGGGAACTCGGGGCAGCAAAGGTCGGGCGGGACAAACACGACTCAGCTCTGAATGCCGGCAGACCGAAGGTCTCCCCACGACTCCAACCCGGAGGGACAAGTGCCAAAGGCCAGGAGGCCCGGTGCGCGGCGCGGCGCCCAGCTCCGCGGGCTGCAGGGCGGCGGGGGCGGCCCGCACCCCTCGGCTCGCCCGAAAGTCCACCGGCCCGCGCCCCGCCCGTGGCCGCGCCGCCCCGGGGAGGCCTCGGCCAGGGGGCCCACGGAGGCCGGGAGACCCCCTCGCGGCCGCCCGCCCGCCCCGGGCCCCCGCCCACCTGCCGGGTCCTGTCGTCTCCGAGCGCCGTTTGGGGGCGCGGGGCGCGGGGCGCGGAGGAAAGGCCGAGCGCGCGCCCTGCCCGCCAGCCCGCCCGCCGCTGCCCGAGCTGCCCGGGCCCACGCGGGTCGGCGCGCGCGCAGTGAAGCCGCCCGGGCAGCGCGCAGGCCCCGCGCACGCGCGCGCACTCCTCCGCATCCGCGCCCCGCGCCCCGCGCCCCCCACGCTGTCCCCTCTGCGGGGTCTGCACCCCGCCCCCTGCACCGTCCCCCGGTCCCGATGAACCGCGCCCGGCCCGTCGGGCTGCCGTGCTCACCCCGGGAAAGGGACCCCGTGTTTAGCCTCCGTGTAGTGTGCGCGGCCTGCGGGAGATCCCTCGGTCACCTGTCTGTTGGTCTTGCTGTGAAAAGCCCTACTCAGTTGCTGTGCTCACGTTGGGCAATTATGCAAGAAGGCGGCAGAGAGGACCAGGAATTGTCACCACAGTGTGACCCTGACTCTGCTCCTGCCTGGTCTACCCTTTGTCCTGATCGCCTTCTACAACGCCCACCACCCCAAACCAAGCGGTGCTAAAACTAACGCCTGACAGATCTGCAGTCAAGCTGTGGAACGAAAGGCATTGGCGGTTCATGACTGAGGTTAGCAGCAGTGAGTCTGTGTCCTCGGGACAGGAGGTATCCCTCCCTCTCCTCCTCACCCCATCTCTCCCTCCTCCTCCCCTCCCCCTTCCTCCATCCTCCAGGCCTCTCCTGCATACACTACTGTGCTTCCTGTTCACCAAGCAAAGTACCTGCAGTAACAGATGCCGATGACTGAATAAACCGCTTTCAATGTCCCTGTGAGCGCGAAGGACTGCGACCCACTGAACACCTTTTCCCACTGGAACCACTGATTCCATGGGCTTGGGAAAAACAGCCTTGAATTGCTTGAACCCTTTCTACACCATGCTGCCCGCAAGTAGCCGGGATTGAATACTTACTACGTATGGAGGAACTCACAGCCATTTATCTTGGACAACCTTTTGGAATATTGCCTTCTTCCTTGGGAGCTAAAGTATGGCCTCCCTGATCTCTTCCTCTTTAGGTCCTGTTTCCACCCCAGGAGCTCAGATCAAGTCTGATCCCAGGATACCCTGAATAAGTATTCTGTGCCCCTTCTGTGACACGCTCACAGCCCCCACTCACCAGCATGTCAAAGGACTCTGTAGGATCCATCCCTGCTTGTCTTGAGCACTCTTAACTACGATGTTCAGGAGTCAATGCAGTGGAATGCAGAAAGGAGACACAGCCACCTCTTTCTAGCTGCTACGCTTTGGTTAACATAGCTCAAAATAGTTGTTTGTAGCAGTCACATCACATTGTTGAATGGGGTGGAGCACTCTGCCAACTAAAACCCACACTGCTTATGCAACGTTCAGAACCATCACCATCCCACGTCCCTGGTCAGCTGCCAGTTTCTCTGTCCCTACAGGCTCTGCATCTTCATGCGCTCTCAGGGATGCTGATGTGACTTGGAGACTTCCTCCTCCTCGGAGGACTCCACCTTCCTTTCCCTGCTCTTATCACACCTACCCCCACCACAACTGGTTAGATGGAAGGAAGACAGCCTGCCATTGGTAGGTTTAAACACTTGTAACGTCCATCACTGAACCACAGAAACTCATAAAGATCTGTTACTGAGACAAGGAGCTAGTGGCAAAGTTTCTGTAGGTACACAATCTACTTTCAGTGCTGACCTAAATTATCCCGCTGAGCTACCACTATTAGTAGGTGACAAGGTGTGGCTGGTTGAGACGTTCTTTGCTATAATACAGGTCTCTGTTAGAACCAGCCAGGCCACTGGCTTATTTTTGCTACACCCAAACACCACATACACATAGGCAAGTTGCCAGAACACCAAGTCAACTGGCTGCCTTTAATCCCTGCCACATATGCAATCATTCCTCAGAGTCATGCTCCCTGGCACATCCTCTGGAGCACACATGTTGTGGATCTAGGCACTGTCCAGTTAACAAGAGAGAGACTGGACAATAATCTGTAGCCAGAACTTGGAGCTTGAACTGTTGGAGTGGGAAAGCACATGGAATATGACCCAGCTGCAGTTGCTAAGGTTCAGTTACATCTTAAAGACACAGAGTTCTTGAACAAGATAGAAACAAACTCAGAGCCAGGAGGGAAGCAGATGGGCATAGGTCAGTGTCACAGTGTGAAGAAAAGGCACTTCTGCTTTGTCTGCTCTGCGGCACTTTACCTATGGGCTTACTTTGTTTTCATTTTACAAATGAAGAAACAAGAATCCAAGAAGCTGTATCACTTGTTCATGTACCCAGGACAGAAATAAGAGGCAAACCTAAATCTGATCTGCTCATCATATGAAATGTCCTTTTGGACCCAAAAATGGCTACATAGAGCACAGGATCATTCAGAAAAGCTGTCTGCACCAGAGAGGTCTGTAACCAGCTATTAAGACACCACCCCAGGAGAAAGAGGTTGGGGGAACACTGTATATGCAAAAAGCAGTGCCATAACTCTTCCATGAGCTAGGAATTGGATGATTTATTATTCAAAGGGGAGGAAGAAGGGATTCATTACTACATTGTGAATGTACAGAAGACCAAGGCCTTAGGATCCTGAGAGACACTCAGATGTCAGAATTGGGGCACCAGATGGGGTATGGGGGGGGCTTGGCTAGCAGACATCATTAAATGCAGACTATAACCATACTGGGAAGAATTTCTAAAATATTCTTGCCTGTCATGTTTGATATGATCACCAACATAAAGAAAGAACAAGAAAGTCAACAAACTGTTAGAAGTCATAAGTCAGCTCAGCAAGGCTGCCAAGTACAAGATCAATTTATAAAATTCATTAATTTACACCAGATGGGAGCAAGCAGGAAATAGACAATAGTCAATCATTCACAATAGCCATAAAACTTTAAAGTACAAGGTCCACAGTCGGGCATGGTGATCATACCCAGCACTCTGGGCAGCTGAAGCAAGAGGACTGTAAGTTGCTACCCAACCTGGGTAATTTATGAATACAAAATAAAGAGGAGGACTGGGCAAGCAGCTCAGCATAAAGGTTTGGGTTCAGTCTCAAATATCACACACACACACAATATCCAGAAATTAACACAATATCCAGAAATTAACTTAACACCTTGCAAGAACTTTATGGAGAAAATTCTAAAACTCTAAGAGCATACAAAAAAAGAAAGTGTGAAGAAATAAGACATACCTAGATAGTATAATTTTACAACACAAAAATATCAATGTAATCCCTAAATTCAATGTTTTGGTATGGCCAAAATGTGCAAGAACTAAAATTTTAAAGAACTTCATTAAATGATGAAATATATAAGGAAAAACAATTTGAAATTCTGAATTTTTAAGTTAAATCAGCTTTGAAAAGCAGTAGCAAACAGAGGAGACTCGGCCTTATGTCATTATCACAGTAATAAACATGATATTTGCTCTAGGAACAAACAGAACAATGATTCAGAATACAAAACTCAGAAGCAAACTCATAAATGGGACATACATACACATGCATACGTATATTACTACAAGCCAATGAGATGAAAATTACTTAGCAAATAGTGTTGAAGAAACTAGCTTAGTTAATGAAAAGTTGCCATGTGCGCCACATTGGCTATATACAAAGAGAAACTCCAGATGAATTAACTACTGATACATGAAAGATATAAAAAAAAAAAAAAGTAGGAGACTTTCTATAAATGTGGGGTGAGAATGTACTTCACAAAGCATGACCACAGAAGCAGGGCTATAACTTGGTGGTAGATCGCTTGCCTATCATGTACAAAGCCCTAAATTTGCATCCCTGCTTCCCAAAAAATAAAACACTAGAAAAAATTACTATAAATCGTGAAGCAAAAGCTTGAGGTATTTGACTATGTCGCAATAAGGCTTTTCTTTAATTAGAAATGCCATAAGGAAAAGAACTGACAAAACTGGCTAGAAGTAGGTGCGTATAAAAGCAATCAGGGATTCACACCTGAAATAGCTAGGGAACTTTGTGCAAATCGGCAAAAAAAAACAGCCAAAAATGTAATATGAAAATTAGAAAAACGTAATAGTAGTTAGCTCATAGGCGAGAAAGCCAGTGTGTAACACAGGAAAGATGCTCACACTCAGATGATGCACACGCAAGCAGTGTGATTCTGTCACAGCCACTGGCGTGCTGGCACAGGCTTTAAAACTCTGTGAAGATAGAGGAAGTCTTCATCTGTAGCATTTGCCAGTTTCTACGGTGCAAATACTTCACTGACACTGATTTCAGGCTACCAGCATGAAGTTACTGAATCAGAAGCTGGGAAGAATTGCGTTCAGTCAGCTCCATGAGCCACTCCAGTGCACGGTACTCTATCCATCGGTGTGGCACAACGTCAGAAGGATAATCCCAAACACCGGCAATGACATGGGGAAATAAATAAGAATCCTCGTGTGCTGCTAATGGGAATTTAATCTGGTAAATACATTCTGTAGAGCAATCTGGCGGTATTTAGGGAAAGAAATCAATGTGCTTTGTGGCTTAGCAAGCAACCTCTTAGGTACACCTCAGAGAATCCATACATTCTATAAGCACCTTTTCCACGTGGTTGCAGAAAGCCAACATTTCTTTTGCTAGGTGATTTTTACCCAGTCCATAGCTTTAAATACAATTTCCATTACCACGATTCTCAAATTTGTATTTCCTCTCTGACTTCAAACATATGAGATATAATAGAAAACTTCAGTAAATGCTTAAGTTTGTAGCTCTTGGGGTGTAAGATTAATTTTGTCATCAAGGCATATAAATGTGGGTTTGTCAAACCCATCATTATTTTTTAGAACATTTTTTTTATTGGTACTGGGGATCCAACTCACAAGGCAGGCATTTATGCCACTGAACTAAATCCCCAGCCCCTTTAAAATATTTCTATTGATGAATTATTAACTTTATGAGTTTTATTATATTAAACAATGAAGACTAGCCAGGAAAAAAGTCACAAAGTAGAATATTGAGTTTTTAATATTTATTGTTTATAAAAACATCCAAATTTTCAACATCGACTGTTTTCTGTTGCACAAAGTCTATAAAATAACATCAGAAATATATTCCTGTATGAACTACATGAAAATACCAATAGCACTCCACAGAAAAATAATCTTTACTTCAATGATCACATATAAGACGGTCTGCACACATGACAATAGCCTATTCCATACATTCACGTGGCTTACACTGACAGTACAGGTCATTTGCTTTCCTGGACTTTTGTAGGATAGATTTGACAATTCAGTGGTCTCACTTTTTTGTCAGGAGGTGCTTATTATATTAGACTATACAGTTTGTAGTTAACAGGAACACAAAGTATCAATAAGATAAATTCTTAACACATTGTATGTTTAAGGATAAACATCAACATTTTCACATCAGCTGTTTACTTGCTTACAAAACCTAAAGATAGCATCATAAATAAGTCCCTATATGAATTACAATGAAAATGCCAATAGAA